AACAAGATCTAGGAACGAGAGCTAAAGACGAAGAGGAAATAAAAAATTTTTTAAGGTGTCTCTTATACGTTTGAAGTTTGAATGTGGAGATTTTAGATTTTTAAATCTGAACTATGTTCTTTCCATATTCTATAGTCTCTTTTTGTTCACAAATTTTTCACCTTGATCAGAATGTTTTTTATTATAACCGAGTTACTGGTAGGTATGGATACTGTCGCTTAATGAAAATCAGCCGGCAGTGAACTCACCAGTCAGCACGCATGATCAGAATCACTAGGGAGTGGTGACCTTCCGCGTCCTCAAAACGTCAGTTTATCACGAACTGTTGGACGATTTCTTTCACAGTCGGTCGCTTCTCGTTGTTCGTCGATTTTCCGTTCACAAGTCGCTATCGATTTGTATTCTTGCTTCCGCGCATCCATCAGGCAAACGCAACAAAGGTAATCATTACGATAACCTTGCCTTTCTCTCTTTTGATTTTCTCTTATATGAATATAATTCTCTGTCCTTGGAAATAATCAAATTTGCTATGGGGAACTGTGGAAGTTCAAGGTCTCTGAATTTTCAAGGAATTAATGGTTCTAAGTTGTTACTAAATTTTATATGTTATCTTTTGATACATGAGAAGGAGCATTGATATATTTTTCTGTTAATAATTTTGAATTATAGTTACGATATATATGTACGTATGTCTTATTGGCAGGACAGGTTAAATCAAGAAAATGGTGGATATTTTTTGAAAATTATTTAAAAATATGTATACTTTAACAATATTTAATGATATTTTGTACAATATAATAATTTATTCTTCATTTTCTTGTCATAGAATTTTAGAGATACTTTGAGGATTTTTTTGAGGTTTTTATCTTAGTCTAATCAATATATAAAAATATATAAAATATATAAAAATTATAATAAATATATTAAAATTTTGTTATTTCAAATTGTGCTGCTTAGACAAGACAAAAATTTGATCATATGATTAATAATAATAAGAAAATTTTTTTGGTTCTATTAGCTAAAAACCTGATAGATAATAATGAAATTTATATATTTGGATTCAAAAATTAATTTCTTTTCTTTGACTATAATTTTTTCTTATAAAATTAAAACAGAAATCTTTAATTATTTATACATATATATATATATATATATATATATATATATATATATATATATATATATATATATATATATACACACACACATATATATACACACACACACACACACATGCTGTATATAATTGTAGATTTATTTAATCGTGACAAAAATATTAATAGAGATACAAACACGTCATTATATATTTGTTCACGAATATTAAAATAATTCCTTGCATTGACCTTAATGAGTGTAGATAATTCCTAACGATTCTTAAGAATTTGAAATTATTTATTATTTAAAAGATATGCTTTATATAGAGCTGTTATACATATGCACATTTTATCTCATCGTGACATGATTAATAGTGTAATGTAGTATCTTTTATACTGAGAGAGTGATATTGGATAGAAGGTCATGGTTGAAATTGCGCTACTATGTATATCAACTGATTATTTACGATGCACGTGCTCACGCATGCTCTGAACGTGAACGTCACATGAGCGGAAAAGTGAAAGAAACAAAAATATTGAAAACTGTTGAAAATGTTGAAAAATTTGTTTATAATGAAAATTTAATATAGTAAATATTGATACTGTATTAAGGATTTTTCAATATTACGAACTTACGTTTTTATAGAAAAAATATTTATTAATTAATTTATTCTGTCATACTGATTTTACAGAATCTAAAAACACTTTATAATTAAAATTATCGAAATTTTAATAACATATATAGAATATTATATTAGATATTTAAGATTGGATCTTTTTATTGTATCGATGTAAACACGGCGTTAAAAAAGTATATTTGTAAATTTGATCGAACGATTTATAAAAATACGTTAATGATTTATATTTTTATTATTATTGATTTATATTTATATTATTATAACGATTTATAAAATACGTTTAATATGTATTAATATATTTATAAAATACGTTAATATGTATTAATATATTTCATAGAATTTTATTGGAATAAATAAATTCCAAACAATGCATAAATCTCATATATTCTAAATACATTGGACATTCTTAATAACTACATATTATGAGTACGTACATATATAATAAATATTCATATAATACAAACGGAAAACTTGTTTTGAAAGTATAATTTTTTGCAACATATTTCGCACGGTCAATTGTATGTATTCAAACTCCAGTTCTATCAATGCAAATAAATAATTTTCTCCCTTTCGAAACATATAATTTTAATCGCAATTCCTTGCCAGTGTACAATTCTTCTAAAAGAAAAAACTTTTAAAATAAATTTTATCGAAGCATTACTTCATAGCCTAATTTTGTTAACTCAATTTTCATTAGATTTATCGAAAATCAAATTCAGAACAATCTGAAACAGATTGTTAAAATTAAGATTAAAGCTAATTTAATTTTTTTTCCTTTAAATGTGGTATAATACTATTCTACACAGATCGCAAATCTTCCGAAATTCGAAAATCTTGAAATTCCTTTATTCGATTGATAAATGAGCACGCATGCATCATCAAGGGTAGCACATCGATACAAAAGCTAGATGTCCGATAAGGTTACGCATTTTTCCTAGAGGTCCACTATGAATATAGGGCGAAATAACTTCACGCCACTTCCATCGGCACTTCTTCTCTTCTTTCGTACACGAAAATTATTTCGGCGAGCGGTAGACGAGCCTATTTTCGGATCCCGGGTTATCGTGAGCCTCTCACATGCCCCGGCGTCGCCGTCGATCGCTCGATGTGTCGCACCGGCGTCGTTCTCGTTTTTTCATTTCGTTTCCGTCCGCTGCATCGGCACTTCCGACCGTCGTCGACGACGGCGACGCCGTGCACCTCGTCACACCTCATCGGATGCGATGCCGGGTCGCCCCTCTCGCGCGCGACCATCGCAGTTCGAGGGAGTCGCCGTAACGGTGTCACCGCAAACGCACTGTCACTAATATCAGCCTTCCGTTTTTCTTTGCGCAGCCCGCCAAAATGGTTTGGATCACCGCTGACGATCAGGTACCACCGTACGATCGTACGATCGTAATCGATTTTTCCTCCGTTTACTACAAGTGACAAGTTTCTCACTAGGACCAATATGATTTCGGTGAATCTAGATATTATTTTCCAGCAATCCGCTTGGGATGCGAATGGATCTCGATATTTTGTTTGCAGTATATTTGCGAAAGATGATTTCCTCTTTCATATTTTTTTTTCGCAGACAACTCGAAACGTTTCACCGAAATTATAATGGCGATATGTATTTTTCTTAATCCTTTTTTCCACTGCTTGGATTTTTCTTTTGTTGTTTGCGCATGCACACGTGCTGTGTGTTCAAACGTTTGATTATTATAGATATGCTCTCGCACCGCATTTAAAAAATTCCACGCTGAAGACAGAATAACGATGCGTATAGAAAGTGTATATGTATAATGACGAACGTACAGTGTGTATTTGGCATCGATATTTAGATCTTCAACGGCGAGAGAAAACAGAGAAAATGTGTGTAATTAGATATAATAATTTTATACGGTGTGTAAGTACAGTTATGTTGATGTGTGAAAATTAATCATCGAGTTAACTTTGTCTATGACACATGTGAATACATAACGTTCGAAATGGAAATCATTATGGATCTAATTTCCGTTCTTTTACGCAATAATCTCGAACCTTATGTGCAGTTTGTATCGAAGAAGAACTGTTGTTTTTCTCTTTTTGCCAGTTTTCCAATTATAAAATCACTGTTAATTAAACATTTATTTATTTATAAAATTTCTTTCTTGATGTAAAAGGTAAGATTAATCGAAATCGTGATATATATATATCTCAAGAAAAATAGTTTACAAATTTATATCTTTTAAAAAGAATTTTTATTTACGATGCTTGGTATATTTTGGCGTGAAAAGTAGAAATAACTAGAATAATAGTAAGTAGAAAAAATTCGCTGCTTTTTTGTTTTTAAATGGCGTTTTGTACCTTTGTAGTATAGAAACTGATGGTAAAATATGATGTATATACTGATGGTAAAACGTTATATAATTTATGTGTTAATTTTTCGTATATGAAGTAATTATATGATATTTTATTTTATTTCTTAATGTTTTCTTAATTGTTATTTTTTTTGTAACCATTTGCATTTTCTATTGTCTTACTGAATAGATTATGAGGCATTATAAATACAATACCACATACACACGCACAGACACATACAGACATAATATTGATTATATTTTTAAATGATAAAAATATAATACCTGACCTTACATATATTCTTCGTAAAATATAAAGTTTACTGTGTTACGATGATATTACGTGCCGGAGTTGTTTCCGCGTTGCATTCGCGCAATTAATATCATTTACAGACTTCGCATATTTGAGCATACATTTATACTGAAAGCGATTCTAGAAGCTGTGCAGAAAACGACGCAGAATTGTGTCACCTTGCTAAATATCTGTTCGGTGTAAATGACGAGGTGATAAATGCATACACATATGATGATAAATTCATTATTCTTAAATTTATCCTTTTTTCTTTCTTTCTTTCTTTTTTCTTTTTTTCCTTTTTTTCTTTTTTTCTTTTTTTTCTTTTTTTTTTTTATTGTATATATCAATGTTCGAGACTTTCTCGTAAATTGTATAACGGGAACCATCTCGTAAAGAACCGAGATAAAATGAAGTATTTGATATATGACTTATACATAACTTCAACTATGCTTCATAACGTCACTCTACGATGAATTGGATTTATCTTTTATCTGTGCATGATACCGAATCTTATTCTCTACACATTGTTAGGCTTTTGCGAGATTAAAATAATCTCGATTGTCGCCGCAAAAATGATGACGTGTTCAAAACTGTCTGACATCTCAGCAGACGAAAAAATATTTATTATCATGTCAGTGACAATGGACTATAACAATGCACTTTAAGCATCAAATGTATAATCTTTTATGTGAATTTTTTCTAATTAATTGATATTCATTCAAAAGAATGAAAAAAATGTGAAAATATATATAATAAAATATATAATAAAAAAAGAATTCAACAAAGTCAAATATTTAATCTTATTTTTAATCTTTTTTTTTAAACGTTAGCTCTTTTTTTAAATTTATATCGATGTATTGAAAGTTTATATATTTAAATTTCGCATTAGTAGGAATTTAAGTTACAAAAATAATTGAAAATTGTTTATTATTTATAACATCTCGAATGCGAAATATAAAGTATGAATGCATTCATGAAATGTGAATGTCACTTCTTTCGCAATCTATTATCTTATCCTTACAATCAATTGTCTTGCGTTTGCAAAATACGTCTATTTTTACCTCGTTGTGTCTTTACAGCCAGAAGTGGCTTCACAATGTAAGAAGTACATCTATCTTATTACTATTTTTGCTGTGCATTATATATGTATACCCATAATGATCTATCTTATAAGACGAGAAGATCATACTTACTCGTTATAAAACGATTAAAAGCGTTCTAAAAAATTAACATAAATCTCCAAATCACACGCATTCCTCGGTTTTATATTTTGTTAGCTTTGCATGTTAAACTTTTAATTAACACTTTGCTATTGATAGATGTTGTTTATCACTTTGATTATTAATATAATTTAATTGATAAGCTTTAATTCACTGGCGCATCTACTTGTGAATTACGTACGATGCGCTATGAACAATGCATACGCAAAATCAAATTCAAATTATCATAAAGCCTTTTTTCACTCATCCGATGATTAACAATTTTTCTATTTTAATCCGAGTTTTTTCTGATTTTATTGAATCCTTGTAGATGGCTGGCAAGCCGAACACTCAGGCGTTATATGCTCAAAGTCAGCTGGACCACATGTGCGCCCTGGATATTGACAGTCGAGTATCCTTCGTTCGTTTATCCGGTATCATTTGCACGATTGGTCCTGCATCCAGATCTGTGGAGATTTTGGAGAAAATGATCGAGACAGGGATGAATATCGCTCGATTGAACTTCTCTCATGGGTCTCACGAGTATCACGCGGAGACCATCGCCAATGTTCGTGAGGCGCAGAAGAATTTAACCGCCCGTGCCGGTATCAATATTCCCGTCGCTATCGCTCTTGACACGAAGGGTCCTGAAATCCGTACCGGTCTCTTAGAAGGTGTACGTAGATAATACATTAAAAATACAAGAGTTTAATTTAGCATAGTATTTTTAAATCTTACTGTTTTAATAGGGTGACTCGGCAGAGGTTGAATTAATCAAAGGCCAGATTTTTAAATTGTCTACTGACAAGACGTATATGGAGAAAGGAAATGCTCACATTGTTTATGTCGATTATGAAAATATTTCGAAGGTGTTAAAGCCAGGGAATCGCGTGTTTGTGGATGATGGCTTGATTTCTCTTATTGTTTCCGCTGTCGGTAAGTTTCATTTATCTGTATCTTTTCTTATATTCTGATATGCGTGTCTGTGAAATAAATTATTAAAAATATTTTCTATGTTTTACAATAACACACATATATATATATTTTTTTAAATATTTAAAAATTATAGTTATTTTAAAAACATAAATCTCTGGTATTGCTTATATATTTTTTAACTATGAAATAGTATTCTTTTAGTTTTAAATTATAATTTTGATTAATTACTTTTATGTATCTGGATAATGATATATCAACTATAGAAAATATAATAATAGTTATCTAATTTATTTATTCTTTAGGTTCTAATTTAATTTCAACTACCGTTGAAAACGGTGGTATGTTGGGATCCCGCAAAGGTGTGAATTTGCCAGGAGTTCCAGTGGATCTTCCAGCGGTATCGGAGAAAGATAAATCCGATCTTCAGTTTGGTGTTGATCAAGAAGTTGATATGATATTCGCCTCTTTTATTAGAAATGCTGCTGCATTAAGCGAAATTCGTGATATTCTCGGTGAGAAGGGTAAAAATATAAAAATCATATCAAAGATCGAGAACCAACAGGGTATGACGAATCTCGACGAGATCATCGATGCATCCGATGGTATCATGGTAGCGCGTGGTGACTTGGGAATAGAAATACCACCACAGAAAGTATTCCTGGCGCAAAAGTCTATGATCAGTAGGTGCAATAAAGTTGGCAAGCCAGTAATTTGCGCTACGCAAATGCTGGAGTCCATGGTGAAAAAACCACGTGCTACGAGAGCTGAAACTTCAGATGTTGCTAATGCTATTCTTGATGGCGCTGATTGTGTTATGTTATCAGGTAATTTCTTTTTATATATTAGGAAAATTAGGAATATATAAAGAAACAATATTAGATAAAGTAACTAAAAATGAAATTCTTAACTTAAATGCATATTAAATCTATATCAATGTAGATAATGTATAGATGTATTCTAATTAGTTTAAAGTGAAATGTAAGATACGTAAATTAATATCTATGATTTTTTAATATATGAATTGAATATCGGTATAGTATTTATCGAATAACAACACACATAAATCTTGCTTGGATTTTTAGGTGAAACAGCGAAAGGGGATTATCCTTTAGAATGTGTTCGTACAATGGCTAACATCTGTAAGGAAGCAGAAGCTGCGATTTGGCAGACTCAAATCTTCCACGACCTATCGAGTAAAGTTCTACCGCCTATTGATGCTACGCATGCTGTTGCCATTGCCTCTGTGGAAGCGTCTGTTAAATGTTTGGCTAGTGCTATTATTGTTATTACGACATCTGGTCGATCCGCACATCTAATCGCGAAATATAGACCTCGTTGTCCCATCATCGCGGTTACTAGATTCCATCAAGTTGCTCGACAAGCACATTTGTACCGTGGAATATTACCATTGTATTATGAAGGTATGATAAATAATTATATTTATGTATAATATAAATTAAATTTATATATATATATAATATATATATATATATA